ACGCAATCTCGGCCCCACCAAAGCCACCGGCCTGCGCATCGCCGTCCGCTCGGCCGACTCGGCGCGCGCTGGCCTGCGTGCCATGCTGGTCTCGGCGCGTCTCTTCCAGCCGCCCGACGGCCGCGTCGTCGGCGGCCTCCCCAGCCATGGGCCGGCCGACGGCGCCGGCCAGCGCGGCCAGCAGTGGACCGTCCAGATGGTGAAGCCCGACGCCGCCCTCCTCATCGTCCAGCGCCCCGGCGTCTGGCTCTATCCCGACGAGGAGTTGGCCCTCGAGGTGACCCTCTACCTGGCCGACCACACCGCTAGCCCATCCCCGCCCTCTTCCACTGCCCAGCCAGCCTCTCAGTCACCCGCCCAGACGACCGACCCGCCGGCCGCCAGCCCGACACAGGACAGACTCAAGCACACCGACTGGCAGACCCATCTGCCCGGCATCGTGGCCAGCCTCACGTCGGATGTCCTCGACCCCTCGGGTCAGGTCAAGGAGGCGCATTTTGCCTATCATCTCGTCTTCCTGCCTCGAGTTGATATCAACGCCGGCCAGCAGGTGACCGCCGTCATTGACGACCGCAAGAAGCCGCTGGAGCCAGGCGACCGTGAGTTGGCCCCAGCCATGCCCCCCTGTAAGCCTGGTCATCTGTCTCCCTGGCTCCGGGCGCTGGTTCTGACCATGCCCCAGCCTCTCGTCTTCTCACGATGACACCGAAAAAGGCGTCGTCCTCCAGATTTGTTTGCTCTCTACGCCTCGAAGGCCATACCGGAAAAGCAAGTCTTTGGCACGCACAGTGCCCCGGGCTCTTCCACCATTCTTGAACTTTCGCCTCCAAATGACGTCCCGTGAAGTAAGGCTCAGATGTGTAGACAAATGGGAATACCGGCCAGGTTCTTGCGGCTACTGGAAGGCAACAACTTCTTCGAGGTTTGTGGACAATGGGCTGGTCCTGTATGCAAGCGTCTGCCTTTGTCGAATCGCTGTGGCCCTGTGCCTCGCTCGGCTCTTGGAGGACTGACACATCATAGCAGTGCCGAAGCGACTGAATCCTGTGGACGTGGACTCGAAGACCCAATCTTTTGACTTGGCCCATTCCGATGCTAGGTCAGGACGATCCAAGCCACGTCGGGGTGTACATGATGTTGCTATGACATTGCATGATGGCGAGGTGGCGTAAACTTGCTGTTCAAGGTGATGAAGAATAGATAGTTGCGTTTTTCCCACAGTGACATGAGCCGACCTTACAATTCCATTGCATTTCGCATAGCAAAGACGTAATCTCATCCCGGCTGAAGTGGACTGTAGTTTCCATTTCGCATTGGTCCTATCAACACCCCCAGCGCGACTCGAGCCATGATACCGCAGCGTATAACCTCGAAACGCTAAACACTACGCCATATTGCCACGAGTGTCCTGTGAAAGGAGTGCTCAAGGGCACTCGTGCCAATATGGCGTAGTGTTTAGCGTTTCGAGGTTATACGCTGCGGTATCATGGTTCGAGTCCCGTTGTGGTAATTCATAAGACCTAGGCGAAGTTGAAATTGCAGTCCACTTCAGCCAGAATGAAAATACCTTTCGGAAAAGCAAGGCTGTGGGAAAAATTCAACTACAAGTCCTTCATCATCTTAAACGAAACAAAATGAACACAGCTCATATATCTGGCCTACTGGCAGTCTTGAAAACCTAATCGAAACGAAAAAGTGTTGTAGATTAGTCTTGTTTTATCCTTCATACAGCTTGTAGTGACGGCTGGTATCTAAAACGCTATAGGTTTTTGTGACTTGCTTCTTGTGACACTGGGTAGACGCACTTCACCTGGTTCCACTTAGGTTGCCACGGTGCAGATGCAGGGGCACGGATACAGCATTAAGTTGCTGCGTCGAGACGTACTGCTGGCACGCCGCATTTGTCCCATGTGGGTCTGGCCGATGCCAAGCGGTTGTCGTGGCACTCTGCTTCCTATTGCGATGAGTACAGCCCTTGGAGGTCCAGTCGAGATAGCGAAGACGCCTTCAGCAGTTCCCCGAGGAAACCGGATATCAGAGTTGTGATTTAGGTACACCGAAGCCGTAGTCAGCTGAGGTCGTTTGAGGCGATATGAGGACCGGGAATTGAATTTACATTAATTTACTGAGTAGAAAACTTCATGACGTGATTGAATTTCACCAAATCTTGTCTCACCGAAGGCTTCCGCTCCCTATAAACTATGAGTAGGTGGGTTTTTGTGAATCTCTTGATGATAACACTTTTATTTCGCAGGAAAGTGCACGACGAAGAGATTTGTTGGTTGATCAAATCGGGGGACGAAGGCTGATTCTCGTTATCCTCAGCCCTTTGGCTTCAGTACGTCGTTCGGATTGACGCGGCCCACGGGACATCCTCCCTCGTTTCGGCTTAAACGGGCTGCAACATCGTCCGCTATTTACCAGATATCATTCATTATCTATCTATCTGTATCTGTGTATTTTCACCTTTCGTTTTGAGTATATATATATAGCATGCAGAATATAGCCGGATAGTTTTGTTGACTTGGTGTTAACTTGAAGCTTTTACGAGAATATATTCCAGCTCTAACGATATCTTTTATGTGACGGACGAAAGCAAAGCCTATTTTTCTGAAACGATGAAGTATGTCTCGTTGACTGTGTGTATCTGCGAAAAAAGTTGGGTTTCGAGGAATGTATTTTATTTTGAGTAAAGATGTCTGATGAAGGCCTAGCTTACTAGAAGACGACTATGGATTCCGATTGGCCAGCGGACACCTGGTTTCACAGAAACGTTCTTTCCGTCACTGTTCGAGAGGCAATTTCCCTCAATTCCTGTAAACATTTGCCAAGCTTTCGTCCGTCAATGACGGACATCCTTAGAGATGATATCATTTTTCAAGCTAATGAATCAAGCAAACTCATTGGCTTAACCATAAATGCTGTATATATACCCTGGCTATGAATTTTGATAACGTATAAGGTGATTTGGTAAGTTTAAGTCATATCACAAACTATAAGCACTTGTTTATGCCTATGTGGATAGGAAGAGAAACTGGGTTTCGATGAATCTCTTGAGTCAACATTGTTAGGGGGACTTTCATTTCGTATGCAAGTGAATGAAGAAGATATTCGTTGGTCGATCTCACCAGACGAGGACTTTTATATAGCGTAAAAGCCAAACGGCTGCAGTATAACGAGATTTATCCGTCCTCATCTGGTGTAATCGACCAACGAATCTCTTCTTCATTCACTTTCATACGAAATGAAAGCCCCCCTAACTATGTTTTTGTGCTTATCTGTCTTCATATGTACTTATATGGGCAAAACCAACAATGCTTGCTCGAAGTAATTAGAATGGAACGTAACATCCGTCATCAATCATCCAGATTTAATGACCTCTCCCCCTCTCCTATATGCATAAATATTTATTTTCAATCACCACACAGATTTAGTAATGTCAGGGACGCATCTTGTTAAGCTGTTGCACTTTTATCACTTGTGCGAAATAAAAAGCGTGCACTAAAACGTATAGAAAATGTTATCGTGATTAGAACCATTACCATCAGAGGACTTGTTGAGTCTTCCTTTTTTCACACGACTCACCAACCCCTATACATGAGTCTGTCAATTAAGCATATATACTTCTTTCTTAACTTTTTACTCGTGTTCCTGAAATTTAATGTATTGCCTAATATGTTGGTTTCGATATCATCTCTAGTCTTGTGTCTGTAACCGGTGTTCTCATTTCCCGCCGATGTCTTCCCAGACGGCCTATTTTTCACTTTGTGAACTTATTCTGAAATTACGCCTTTGCCTAAGGGACTATACCATTAGCCATTTAATTCTATCGTCCCTGCAGGGGCGCCAGGTCGCCCTAATCCTTCACGTAATTCACTTTCGGGAAGGAGTCGAATAACAGGTATTACCGACTTCCTTTGCACTTCCACTCATGGCAGAGCCACCTGACATCATGTAGTTTACGCAAGCCACTTTTGCTCTTAGTATTCTTGATTTGCACTTTGTTATGAATTTCTTTCCACCTTTATTTCTAACTTTCCTGATACTTCCTGCGATCTTGACCCCCATCTCTTTCCCTCCACCAGTTCTCACCTCACGCAAACTCTACTCATCCGAATTAGGCCCGAAGGTAGAACACGTCTTCCTGGTTGAGAATCGAGGCGGCCCAGACCTGACCAACCTGAAATTTTGGTTGGATATTCCCGTGGCAACTTCGGACGGTGACTACCTCGTCTACCTGGCCGACCGAGTTCGCAAAGTCGTTGTCGGTGGAAAAGGTTTCATATTTCCTTTTTGCATCATTATTGCAATACTCACCGTTTCCCGTTTGCTTGCCCATCTTCTTGGCCTCCACATGTATGCATCGATAAAGTGCTCGATATAAATAGTCTTGTTTATACCTCATCGCACGCTGTGATGCGGTACGACACAGTTGTTAGAAGCCCCTTCTGATGATGTGGTGACTGCTGCGGTGGCTAGAAGAGTACGCCTTTGGCATCGCACTTTTATGCAGTTAGCGAGATAGGTTAAAGAGAAGAGGGGTTAAATGTGTTTGGGCTCATCAATTTTAACTTCCTTTTTTGTGATTTAACCTGATGTAGGACTGATTGTGAACTTTACCATCGGTTGGCCTCGTGCTGCTCTTGAATCTCACCAAAACCTCGCCTCTCAAAAGTTATTCTCCAGTCTGGACTGCCGGTTTGATCTCGCCTGGGTCTCATCAGCACCGAAAACGACATTCAAAACAGAAATATTCGCATTAAGTATTGTTTTTCGTGACTACCAGTATATCAGTTATAAGATGTATTCACCAAATTTCGTTTAAGGTGATGAAGGACTGGTAGTAGAATTTTCCCACA